GTTCTTATGTAACAAATCAGGTAATAATTCAGCATATGTCATAGGAATTGGGTCAAACTGAACCTTGTTCTAGATACGACTTTGTTGATTATGCTGACAGACTGGAGCAACATGGGGTAAATTGAACACAGGGATGACACGAGAAACATGTTGATTTTGACGATAATTGTTTCTTCCTCTGGTTCTCGTCTTGAAAAAGTTATTATTGAACTTCTTCACTCCACTAGCTGAGCTACCATCTTCAGATAAACATCCCTTTCGAGCATCCTCTTCTAGAAGCACTCTCATATTAACTTTTTCAGGGAGATCACTAGGTGCATTAACTATCACCTTCTCATGAAATAATGATTTTAGAATTTCTATGAAGACATTTTTCCATATCTTCTTCCTTCCTAGAAGGATTGACTTTGGCAACAACCAAAGTTTCAACCAAAATAGTTAAATACTCCATACCAACCTTCAAAGTAGTTATCTCTTTGCGGAGTTCAAAGATCTCTTTCTTAGTGTTTTCCATCATTCTCTTAGCGCGAGTGTTGTACTAGTGAGACTAAAGGAAAAATAAGACTCGGGAATGACTTTTGAAAGTGAAAAAAAAATGTAGAATGATGCATGATTATGCAAATGGTAAGTTCACTTCATTTCTAAGGACCTCAAATTTTGATTCCAGCTTCATGTGAGAAATAATTAACAATAAAATGTGTCAAATAAGTCTAATACAAAGTTAAGAGCCTAAAGGATACAAAATACAAAGCCAAGAGATCCCAATCAACAGACCTGGAAGTGATCATCAAAAATACAAATCATAAACCCTAAGATGTTTCCCCAAACTCTACATCAGCAAGGATATCCCAAACTAGATTCTCATTACTCCTCTCTTGGGCCCTTTTGAAGATCTCCTTTGTTGCTTAGACTTTGATCTCTCAATTAGATCCTTGATGAGTACATCCCTTTTATTGATAATGCTTTCCAGATGATCAACCTCTTCTTGAAGCTGAAGACCGTAAAAATCTTCTTGCTGATCTTCATCTTCAGACTTCGTGACCTCAACTTAAACTGGCGTTCAAACATTGTAATTGATGGTACTCCTCTTTATAGAGTCCATTTATGAGTAATGAACTTGATACGAGAATAAAAAATAAAGTTCCCTAGAAATGAAATGACCACGTATGTCACAAGCATGTCATGATGTTTATGAATGCATGAATGTATGGCTATGCAATAAACACATACAAGGTTCAAAGGTTTAACGTCACGAGCATGGAGTCAAAGGGTGAGAATCAACCCGCAAGGTATGTACTAAGGGTATCAAATCACCTGTAGATCAAGGTTCTAAGGAATCCCAAAGTCCACATCCTTCTTTCGGATATTACCAACTTCCCGATTACTCGGTAGTTAGCAATACTCTCAAGAAAAAATCGTCTGAGGGAAGCCATCGCGTGACAACTACTTCCAGATTACTCTGTTATAGTCTCTGCACTACATCTAAAAGTCCAAGATGGGTTAAGGGTTCTACGGTTCTCAGCTTCTCTGGCTCCCAGGTTGAAAGCAGTAACATCTATCCGATTACTCGTTAAATGAATACTACAGTCAAAGGGGCTTCCACTGAGTGGGGGATTTCATGTCTCCTTCTTCGGGACTACTCCCTCAAAGTTAACATGACTATACCGCCCGTCCTATTCTTAAGTGTAACTTAGTCCGGGTGTAGGACTTTTCCTTTGTAAGTATCATCAACACACAAATAACCACAATATATCACAAATAATCAAACAAATAAGTAATAATAATAAAAAAATAGATATAACGAATTAGGCTTAACCCACTTAAGAATGCAAAGTAAGTGCAATACTAAAAGTAAAGAAAAATATAATGTATTTGAAAGAGATCGAAGGTTCGGGGGTTGGTTATACAAAGGGAAGGTACTAGCACCCTATGCATCTATAATATCCTATATGAACTTTTTGAAATATCTCTTTTTGGTTAAAATTAGTTTGCTTGCTAAATGAGTGTGGGGATGAGATTTTGAAAATGTGACGATCTAGTGTCGAAGTTTTAGGCTTAAAAGAGGTGCGAGTTTTTTTAAAATTAGGGTTTAGAAGAGATTTTTTTTAGATTAATAAAACTAAAAAAAATGTACAAAGGGGTTTTCACACAATCCTATTAAATATATTCGATGACATGAAGTCAATGAATTCGATTTTTCCTTTGGAGTTAGACAAACAAAATATAAAGACTAAATAATCGACAAAGGGAAATTAAATAAATAGAAATTAAATAACTAAATAATTAACAACCAAAAATTAAATAAAACAAAGAAAGACAAAATTATACTAATATATATTTTTGGTATTTTTTAAAGAGGACAAGAAATAAATAATTATAATTCTAATCTAATAGTTTTTGTATTTTTTATATAGATTTTTAAATGAAAATAAGGCAAAAGACTTAAAAATTAGAAATAAAAAAATAAAGTGAGCAAAGAGAACATAAATGCTCAAGTGAGCAAAGAAAAAATGCATAAAATAAAGAAAATAAAATGCTATAGATGATAAATGGCGTAAAAGTAAAGAGGAGAAAATATAAAGTGCGGAAATATAAATGATATTAAAGTAAAATTAGTACAATATAAAGTTAATAATCTGATTTGAGATAAGTGTAACTTCATATAGAACATAGAATGTATGTAGCCATACATGTTAGAGAAATAACACTTTGAAGTTCATTCTCTTATACATGTAGTACAATTAACAAACATGGGAATCAAGACAAAGTCAAGGAAGATACATTATGACAAACTTATCATCAATCTCAAGTACCTTGAATGATCAAAGGCCATTTAGAGGTAGATTGAAAATGATAAAAGTTCATCAAATATTCGAAAAGCTTAAATGAACTAAAAAAAGCTCAAATGCTTTCCAAATTGATCTAAATAAAATAAATAAAGAAGAATAAGATGAATTCTATAATAAAAATAGTATAAATGTCATAATTTTCTCAATTTTTCATGAAATTAAACAAATGATCAATGAAAATTTATCTACTCAATGTCACGACTAAGAATCCATGCTCAAAATAAGTAAATAAATAACACAAAATTACATTTAAAAAATGAAAATTAAACAACAATAAATCATTTTTGCTTTTGCGAGTTCAATAACACTTTTCAACTCTTGATTTTGAATCAATGGAGTTTCCTTGCAAAATGGTGATAATTATGAATAAATAAATAAAGAATAAAAATGAAATAGAATTAAATAAAGAACAAGTATAATAGCCTACTTATTCAATAAAAGGAATGAATGACTTGAAAGAAAATGAAGAGAAAAAGAAGAAAGTTTTGGTTTAGTTTAGTGAATGATTTATGACATTATTTCTCCAAATGAAAGAAATAAATGTCTTATTTATAGGGTAAATGAGGTGGATGTGTTGATGTGGTTCTTGGCCATTGATAAGTCCAAGTTGGCAATCTATGTGAAGTGTGAGAATGATTCTTGGCCATTGATAATTAAAAATTGACAATCCATGTGAAGTGTTTGTACTACATTATAGTGGTCCTAATTTTTCTTTATTGACAAAAAAAAGGACAAAGTAGTAATAATAATAATAATATAATAATAATAATAATAATAATAATAATAATAATAATAATAATAATAATAATAATAATAATAATAATAATAATAATAATAATAATAATAATAATAATTAAAAGTGTTACTAATAATAATAAATACAAAAATAGAAAATAAAAGAGACATTAAATTAACTATTTATGATTTTTTCTTGAATTAAAATAAATGAAAATATAAGTGCAAATCAAAAGATAAAAAATAAAATACATATAAGAAAGTAAAAGAATTTATATTAATTTTTCTAGATTTTCTTTGAAATAAATGATACTAATATATAAGTTTAAATTAATAAAAGAACATATTTTTGATAATTTTTTAGTAAAGTGGTAAAAATAGTAAATAAAAAAATAACATAATCCTAAATACATTTTTTTGTGATTTTTTAAATGGAAAAGAAATCATGAATAAAACACAATAAAAATCAAATTCCACTAAATTCATAAACGACTTCTAACATTTCTATCTTTCGTGACTTTTCAAAGCATAATCAGCTCGTGACTTGTAAAGAGAAATTTTAGATGATGTCAAGGAGAATTATATGCAAAAAGAACCGCTTAAAAATGTCAAAATTTGAAGAAGTTATAAATTTTTAAAATCTAACTCAAGAATTGGCAAAAAAAATAGGCCAAACACTCGTGAACACTTGTTATGCAATGATACAAATGGAGAATGACATGTGCAAAGGATGAGAATACATTTATTATTTCCCTCATGTGTTTGATGCTTGTTGATTCAGATTTGAGATTGAAGTTCGGATTTAAGAATTGAATTGAATTTGGATTTATTGGTTGTAATTGTTCATTTGATGCCAAAAGTTCAAGATATTCAAGTGTGTTAAGACGACATCAAAGCTACGTTTTATCCACTAAGCATACAAGACATATTCATCCATTTGAGTGTTATTCAAAACAATTCAAAGGTTCAAGAGATATCAAGATGTTTCCATTTTACAAGTTACATCATATCATCAATTTCCAAGAGGGAAAGAAATGTAGTTTAAAAGAAGAAAATTGTGCTAATTATGCGAAGTTTCTCATTTAATTATAAAGTCATTACCAAATTACAAAATCCCCATCAATGTTAAACCATGTTACAATTGGCCTTACATCACGGTTATAAAGATGAATTACATGAGAAAACCTAAAATTCTAAGATGATGCCAAATTGGTTCTTGAAACTTCATGTTCACTTCCTTTCACAAAGTGTTTCCGTCGCAATAAACTAAAGCCGAATCTGTTCAAATCTGATCCACACCTTCACATGCCTTGACTAAGCAACCCTGCACTCAAGTAAAGTAAACCAAAATGCTCATCAAAATCAGTAAAAATCCAAACCTGTTTTAAACCGGATCATTCAATGAGAATACAATATATGGAAAGCAAGTTAGACATGTTATTCAAGAAAAACCTAAATACAGTAGCAATTAATCTTGCTCAGACTCAACAAGCAGATGCTGCAGCTACTTCCGAAGTCCTAAGAAAACACGTAGGCCACCTATACAGTAAGCAAGACTATGATGAGGCAATGTCCCAGTACATACATACTATTGGTCACCTTGAACCTTCTTGCGTGACACAGAAGTTTTAGATGTTCAGAGAATCTACAACCTTACAAATTACTTGGAAAAGCTACATGAGAAGGGCCTTGCTTCTAAAGATCGCACCACAATTCTATCAAACTGTTACACCAAATGAGAGATGTTAAAAAATTAAATCTATTTATTAAAAGTGAAGATAGCATTGGGGAACTTAAGTTCGAAGTGGAAACAATAATTAGAGTTTGCTGTGCTGCCAATTACCATGAGCATCCAAATGTATAGTTCAAGAAAAATAAGGCAAAAACAGAATAAAAACTCAGAAAAGTAGAAAACAAAATTCATATTAGAGGAAGGTCTTATCAATAAAAAATCAGAATAAAGTGCAGCATAAATCCAAACTCAGAAAAAACTAACATTCCCAACTAAGTAACAGAATAACTAACTGTAACCAACCTCCCAACCTTCCTAACTAACTAACAGAATTTCTCAACACCTAACTGCTTTCAAATCTCCTAACTGTCATAACAAACAACTTCAACCTCCTAACCGATTTTTCCATCTCATCAAATAGACGATAACAAACTTCAATAACAGATCATAACAAAAAAAGAGGTGATAACAGAAAACCAGAGGGAGGAATCAGGATGATTCAGAGCATACAATCATCCATAGAAAATCAAAAAAAGAAGACTGACCTTAACACTTTCTGAAGAATCACCATAAATCTTCATCTTTCTATCTCTGATTCAATAAATAGATTCTCTATGTAATCTCCATTATCTTTACTCTCTGCTTCAATCTTGGAATCACAACAATCTTCACCAATCGTACCAGATCCACAACACTTATCGGCATCATCATCTATGCTTCAGTCAATTCAAACAACATCACCACTATTTTTTTTCATCGCAGCAACCTTCATCACATCATCACTGAATCTATAACGCATCAACAACTCAGAAGTGAAACCGAAAAGAATAAGTGAATTAAAATGGAAATCACGAGAGAACGATAAGGTAGAAGAAAGAAACTAAATCGGAGAAGCAAGGCTCAAGAAGTTACTTGGAAGCAAACATCTCTGGTTTTTCGCTTCTAATCGTCACCGTCGAAGACGTCGGACGAACTCCGATCAGTGAGTTTTAATTTCCATTTTCTCACAATGTTATACATAGCATCTTGCTTGAATGTGTGTAGTCTGTGATTGGATTTGGAGGCTTCGAAGCTTCGATTTCTTTGTGTAGTTCCTATGTAGAACACGATGACAGAACAACGGTGCTGAGGACTTGAAGAACGAATCTAAGAAGATGATGATTAGTGAAGTAAGGCGGAATCAAATGGAGATATGATGAGATAAGAAGCAGCGGCGGCGCTCAATTTGTTGATCGGAGAAGGAGGCTTGAGGAAGATGATGATGAGACAGAGAGTTTGAGACGGTGGTTTCGCGGCGGCCGCAAAACGCAGGAGAGGAAGTTGAGACTGGCGTCGTTTCCCGAGGAAGATCAAAGGCCACAAACTTAACCCTAGAATCTCCATTGAACGACACCGTATCCTTTTTTCTCTCATATGTCACTTTTTTCTTTTAATTGCATAAGTTAATAATTAACAATAAAATCTTAATGGTAATTAATGATAATGGAGATTAGATGTGAGTCTGTTTGGGCCTTTTGGGTTACTTACCTTTCGTTTTTTCTTTCCCTTCTAAGTCCACCACAACCATTTTGGTATAACATAAAACTCGTGAACAAAAATCATGAGGATCCTCCTTGATTGGCTTTGAACCATTGTTGTTGGCTTACACCTCTTACCTTCAGCTTTCACCAAGAGTTATTATTTGGACCAAATTACTACCAGAGGCCCATCCTTGTGTTTTCGGTGAAAGAAAACTGAACATAACAAAAAAAATCTGATTATGGACCATTCCTGAGAGGGGCCTAGCGCCTGATTTTTATACTATACTCCTGAAATTAATTTTATACTCCTATTTCCTTCATTAAATTTAGGATTTTTCTTTTTAATTTTGTTATGATAAAAAAGTATAAGATAAATAAAATTTTTGTTAATTTCTTAATCTATTTTAGGAATTAATTCTTTAGTTTTGTTTTAGAATTTTCCTTACTTAAAAAACTAATAACAGATACTTCTTTTTTTCTTTTAGTTTTTATTCATATTTCGTATCGTCGTGCCTCGTTATTTTTGACGCGTTGGTTCATTGTGCAAGGTACATTTTTTGCTTTCGATCGTGTACTATAACAGGTAGTTATGTTATCAAAGCATATGACTTATGCTCGCTTCCGATGCGATACGCCTTATTTCTCATTATCCTGAGAAATTCATATCATATTATATGTTGTCCTGATGCATGTGATATTTTATGCAGGAACTTCTGATTACGCGTTGCATTTGCAACACACGTTTTCTTTTATCATAGTTGGATATCATTTATGACTTTGTTTGTTTCTTGGTGAAGCTTGCTCCAAGCGTACTCCCTGCTTCTCCATTGCTTTCGTCCTCTTTCAACGATTGGATTGCTTGTGGTAGTCGCCACTACTACATTCGTATTTCTCTGCACTTTATCGCATTTCTTTACCGCTTTTCTAGAGATCATGAGAAGTAGGGATTTACTGCTTTCTGATGCCATGAGAAGAAGGGTAGAGATGTATAAAGGGGATCTATGTTGCTGATCATGTCAGGAATCCTTTTGGTTTATTTAAAGACCTGTTTAGGAAAATTCCACATTGTGTGCATTATGTATGCTAATTGTGGTTGTTTAGAACCCTACTTTTGAAGTAGGTATTCCACATGTATGTTTACATTTGTGATTGTATAGCGGGATGATGGTTTTAGGTCCTTTTATGGAAACCACTCCTAAGTCCTCATGGGAAGGCAAGTGGAAAGGGTTAGCAACGAACCCCACCAGTTTTCGTCCATGTCGTTCTTATGCTCACTTTTTGCAAGTTCTAAGCTCCGAACATATTCCCAAGATCATATGTATTGAGTCCGTCAAGCGGGGAAGAGTTTTGCAGTCAAACCCCCACGTTTTATCAGGAGTTCATACTGATCAATGCTGACACTCCGTGATTATTCATATTACCTTCATTCGCCTACCATGATCTTCTATATCTTGGTTAGGTGTCCAGTCACTTTGGACATCACATTTTTGTTTTACATCCTACTCCCGCTTGTTTGTCTCGGGTGATACGCTCCCCTTGGCTAAAGAATTTCACTTCTTTTCTTTACCCTTTCATGTGTGTGCTCTTTCGAGCTTGTTTGTTCATTTGCTTTCTATGCCATGTTCCCTTAGGATATGTTTTTTCCTTTCGGATGCAAGTTAGACCTTAGGTTGCAAACCATGCATCCTAACATTAGTTAGAGATTTCCCTTTTATCCTTGACGTAGGGCCACTATTGCATGATAACACTAGGGGTAGTACTAGGCTAGTCTCCCTTAATTGTTTTCCCCCTTTTACATCCTTGCATCTAAAACTAAAACTTTCTTTTTCTTAGCAAATCATAAAACATGCTAATCACACTTAAACCCTTTTCAAGGTGACAAAACACAAACCAATTAAATGTGACATCTTTCCTTGAGGGCGTAACTCAAAACCATTTTTCAGGTAAGGACGTGTTAATTTACATATGTGCCAACACGTGAGTCTCTAAAGGTCGAGCTGCGACAGAAGGCGGAATTAACATTGTTCATAAAAAACACGAAACAAACAAAAACATGTGAGCTGAACTACGATAACTCTGATTCCTCAAAAAGGATACGTAGGCATTAGGGTAGGGCCCAAGCGAGCACAACTTTATTTTCGCTACATTATTTTCTTCTTTTTTTTGCATACATTCTTCCTCAATAGTAAGCAGTAAGCATAAATTAGACACACCCATAGGATATATAACAAGAGTGGATACCATAAATTACTACGGGCGTGTGGGATGCTAATACCTTCCCCTTGCAAAACAGACTCCCTTACCCAATTTCTCGGTCGCAAGATCGTGACTTCTCCCTTCTCAGATTTTCTCGGTGTTTACCTTTTTCTTCATATGGGATAAAAGACGTTTGATGGACTTTATTATTTGATGATTTTCAGCGGGTCATTTTAGCTGGAGACTTCACTGTGGATAGATCGACCAATTGTCGGTCCATCCCGGAGTCGCTCCTAGATCTTGCTTTATTTTAATTGGGTGTTTATTTTTATGCTTTTAGTTTATTCATTCATACGTGATTACCTGAGCATATGTATACTTTGCATTTTACTGCTTTCCATATTGGTTATCTGTTGTGCTGGCTTCTGCTCCTTGTTGGGTGGGTGTTACTATGAGGTAAAAAGGCTCAGTACCCAGGCCAGAGTTGTATACCACTAAGAACACTAGGAATAGAGTGGAGAGTGTAAGTTCATATGCGCCTAAGAGGGGGGGTGAATTAGGTTCTTTAAAACTTTTTCTGAATTGTATGAATATTTTTGCACGAGTTTCTTTTCTTTCTTTTTCTGATAAGAGATGAAAGCAGTAAATGCGGAAAGTAAAGAACACAGAGATGTATCCTGGTTCCCCTCATAGTCCGAGAGTACTCCAGTCCCCTTTTAACATGAAAGAGATTTTCTTATAGTTGGTAATTTGTACAAAGACTACCAAACAACCAAGAACAATCCTCTTGGACCAAGAACAGTCCTCTTGGACCAAGAACAATCCTCTTGGATTTTCACTAAGACCACAAAGAGAACAATCCTCCCTAAGTGTCTTTCTTGTTTCCAACAATCCTGAAAACAAGTATACAATAGTTTGTTTGATTTGTATAAGAGTTTGAATAATGAAAGAGCAATGTCAATCACTTGATTGATCTTTTCTATTCAATATGAAATTTAAGATGGAATACTCTTCTAAGTGCTCAAGAACAATTTTCAGTATGCATATGAAAATGATGAACAAAAATCTTGAGTATAAAGAGTATGATCAAAAGAATAGAAAGTTGTTAGTGATTGTTGTTTTATTTTTTGTTGTAGTTTTCAAAATTCTAAATGAAAATAATTTATAGTATAGTAATACCTCTTCAATGAATCATAGCAATGTTTAAACCATTTTTACTAAAACAATGTATTTGAAAAGATACAAAGATTGCCATGAAAAGGTGTTACAAAAGGTTGTTGGAAAAATGAAAATTTTCAAAATATAAGGCACAACAACCGGTTGCACTAAAGCAACAATCGATTGCTGTAAAATAAACATTTAAAAAATTTGAAAAATATAACTATGACAATCGATTGTCATTGAGGAGCAATCCGTTGCTCATAAGCCAACGTTCAAAAAATTTGAAAACAGAACACATGACAATCGATTGCTGCTAGATGACAATCGATTGTTTTCAAACAGAAGCTTTTGTTTTTTGGATGCAACCGATTATCCTAGCATGACAATCGATTGCTTGTGTACAAAAATTGAAAAATCATTATTTTCTAAGATTTTAAGCAATTTAAAACATCCTTCTTCAATCATACATAGTATATACTCAAAATATTATTTTAATAAAGTAAATGCATGATTAAAAATAGTTTTGAGCACTAAGAGCATAAGATCAAAAATTTCATATACCTTAAGCCATAAGTCTTGAAAAGTTGATCTTGATCAATGAATCTTTGCTTGAGATAAATCTTCTATCTTGATCCATTCATTTTTGCATGCTAGCTTGTCTTCATCAAAACATTTGGAAAGCTTGATTTCAGTCTCCCCCTTTTTGATGATGACAACCATTGCTTGAAGTTTGGAGTGCATCTTGGTTTTCTCTAATCAAGTTGTTTAAAAACTCCCCCTAAGTCAAAGACTCCCCCTTGATCTATTGCATGAGGGTTTTGAAGATTGCTTGCTTGCTGCAATTAGGGTTAGAGAAACACAAAAGAAACTACAAAGTCTTCTCCCCCTTTGTCATTAGCAAAAAGGAATGGGAAAGAAGATCATAAAAATTTTGCACATAGAAATAACATAGCATAAATAAAGTTTGCATACATAGGTATAACAGAAACAAAGTGCACAAAACGAAAGGGATCACAATACATGAAGTGTCTTAAACGAAACTAGAAAAACAACATAAAATTTAGTAATAAAAACATGGATCATGATATATTACCATAAAGTTAAGATTAAGATCATAGCCATGTACCTTAATTAGATAATTTCATTTTTGTCCAAGATACCTAGCTCTCTTCGGATCTTGAAGAATGGTTCTCTTGCCAATGGTTTAGTGAAAATATCTGCTAGTTGATTATGCGTATCCACGAAGGTGACTTTGACATCTCCTTGAAGTACATGATCACAAAGAAAGTGATGTCGAATGTCGATATGCTTTGTTCTAGAATGCATCACAGGATTCTTTGTAATGTTGGTTGCACTTGTGTTGTCGCATCGGAGTGGAATGCATCCAAGGTCGAGTCCGTAGTCACAGAGTTGTTGCTTGAGCCATAGAATTTGCGCACAACAACTACCCGCTGCAATATATTCTGCCTCGGCCGTACTAAGAGCCACACA